CAGTGCCACCAGTAAAAAAACATTTAAGCAGTCTTATATTTCTTATTCTTCCAGATGTTCTTATGTTTCTTGGTTGGAGCAGCAGCATCTCGTCTTGTCAGGCGTCGTGGCGCCACATGATGATGTTCCACGAGATGCCTATCATGTACATCACGAACACGTCTTACCCTCACCGATCCACGCGATCGCAGTAACAGCTGAAATAAATCTTTTTGGCTCATTCTTGTATATTATAAAAAAAATGCCTAACTGAATATAATGGGAAAGGAAATAAATTTCATATTTTTTTATCCTCTTACCAGAATCGAAATAATTGGCCGACGCACGGACTGCCCGTGCGAAGATGCTTTTTTTGCATAGTTTTCCGCAGTTTTTGTCGCAACCGGCATCGGTTTTTTCGGCATATGCTTCTAGCTGAACAAATTAAGACTAGCCGCCAGAACTGGCAGGAAACAACTCCTTAAAATTTCAGCCTTCTAGCTTTCCTGGCTCCTGAGTTATCATCTACTTGGACGAGGAACATCCCCCTAAGATTTCAGCATTCTAGCTTCTCAGAACCTCGAGTTATGAACTTACCTCAAAAAAACTTTGGCAGGTCCCTACGCAGGTACCACGCGGGTAATGGTGCCAATTTTGGGGACTAGGGCCGGCACGTGCATGTAGATTAAGTTCTCGAAATTTCAGCCCTGCAGCTCTTATAAGTCTTGAGAAGAAAGTGCGTGACAGACGCACACACAGATAAACAGACACATAAACACACAGACATACGGACACATAGACACATGGACACACAGATAACCCCTCGCCAGTATGCGTTTTTGCATTGCATAGCTGCAAAAAACGCATAAAAAGTGAGGCTCCCATTTTGATTGGAAGTAGGAACAAATATGTCATTCTCGTGCTCAATTCAATGATTCAATTTCGCCTTTATGAGAACAATCCCTTCAGAATTTGCTTGCATGACAAATTATTTCTGCTACGTTACCGGAATTCAAACGTTTCACCGATAAAAAAGTGCCCAAAATAAAAACCCATGGGAAAAAAAACTGATTAACCTGATCCCCTTTTACTTCAAGTTCGGCACTCCTTGCCAGCGAGGTGAACACAAGTAGAAGCAGAAATAGGACTGCTTTCATTTTCTGGTTTTGGGTCTTCTGCAAAATGAGGTCATCATACAAATACTTCTTAATAAAATTAGCACGCATAGGAAGTTTGTGCAGTTTACTCATTTTTAATGAAGACACAGCAAAATTTTTTATCTTGTTGCAATAGTTTTTGAACTCTTCGTTAAATGATAACACGCACACTAGATTTGTCAAAGTCAAAATCCTCTTAGTATTCGAAATCAGTGGAAGGCAAAAAAGCTACTGAAGTAGCCCGAAAGGTAGCAAACGTCTACAAAAACCATCCGTTCGCAAGACTGTCAATGACTTTCTT